AGTGGCATAGTGCATGGAGTGCCAGGCCTGGAGTCAAGCAGACTTGTGTTCAAACCTGGCCTTAGACACTTATTAGCTGTGTAACCCTGGACAAATCACTGTAACCTGTTTGCCTCAGTTTCCTCATCTGTAAAATGAGCAGACAAAGGAAATGGCAAACCATTCGAGTATCTTTGCCAAGAAAATCCCAAATGGGGTCACAAAGAGTCAGACACAACTGAATTGAATGAACAACGATGGATTCTAAAAAGCAGAGTTGAGAAGGGAGGGGCATTCCTGGTATGGGAACCAGTCTGTGCAAAAGCAGGGAGATGGGATGCCATGTATGAAGAAGAGCAAATAGGCCATGTTTTTCTGGAACATCAGATGCATGCAGGGAAGTCATGTATAATAGTAAGTCTGATAATGTAGGTTGGAGTCAAGTTGTCAGAGGCTTTAAATGCCAAACAGAGGAGTTCATTTTTTTTGATAATAGAGGTACTATGAGGTACCCAGAGGTACTATCCTAGAAGTACACTAGAGTATATTCGACAGAGGAGTGACATGTTCAGACCTTTAAGGATATCACTTTGGCGGCTGTGTGATGTATAGATTGGAGAAGGGAGAGTCTTGAGGCAAGGTTATCAATTATGAGGCTATTATAGTAATCCAGGAAGGAAGTGATGAGGGTCTGACTTAGGATGATGAAAATGCTTATTCTGAGCAAGTTCAACTTTAGGACTCAGTTTCCTTTTCATGTAGAAGGAAAGGGTTGGATGAGATGGTTTCTATGTTTCCTTATAGTTCCAGATCTATGATCTCATTGTCCTATGACCTCGAAGGTAGTGTCTCACTTAAATTCTGTGAAAGAAATAAAATCTCTTAAGGATCTTCACCTAAAACTCCAATTTTCTGCAGTTATAAAGACCAAGACTTTAAAAACCACACTCTATTCTCTTTCTAGTTTTTGCCCCTCAAAAATAAATGTGTTGTGCTCACTTTCACAGTGCATATATTAAAAAAAAGTGTTATCACCTCACTTAAAATTTCTGGTATATACTATGCATCAGTTTTGTCAATTCACATTTATATAAATAATTACCAATTTTGTCTAAATCTCTGCTTTGTTAGAATATAACCATAGGTAAATTCAAAAGAAAAAATGTATGTAAAGAGCTTTCAAAACCTTAAAAGCATCATGTAAGTGTAAGTTACCACCATTTTTATTCCCTAATAATATCAATTTCACTACTATTTGCTACAATTTCTCCTTTTCCATTTGCACTTTTACTGAGGTGTATTTTCTCTCTCTCTCTCTTCTCTCTCTCTCTCTCTCTCTCTCTCTCTCTCTCTCTTCTCTTTTTGATTAAAATTCCTAATGGTCTAAAAAAAAACCCAGTTCTACAGGAAGACAGGAAAGGATAACACCTTATTGATTGCTTAGACCAGTATGATGCAGTTAGGGCATGCTTCATGCTCAGGAAGAGAAGGAGCTGTATACATCTGTAATCATCTTTGCTCCCAAGGGTCCTGAGTCAGTCCACCAACTGCCTGCATCTGATGAATTCAATGGGTGAATTAAAAACTCTCATTGAGAGTTAGGAGGCTGCAATCACAGCATCACAGAATCCCAAAATTTCAGAGTCAAAAGAGGCTCCAGTGGTTATTTAGTTCAGCCCATACATGTGTCAAGATACTAGGAGACACCCTGTTTTCCAGAGCTAAGTCCCAGCAAGCAAGCTGTGTCCCTAGCTTGGCATGACAACAATCCTTTGCACTCACTCTCTGGATGATCTCACACTGGCAAAATCATATAATTATTGTATTACTTTGATCAGCATCATATGTTCTCTGAGCTTGTTCAAGCAACAGACAACATCGGACAAGTTCTGGTCATGAATTTCTACTCACTGTCAAGGCTACAGCTCACTGTGTAGCCATTGATATAAGTACTGAGATCTTCTCACACTGCCTTGGGTCCCCCCCCCCAACCAGACATGCATCTAGATCCCCTCCTTGCTTACAAGCTATTTCCCCCACTTTGAAATGAAAATTCTGTTTTATTCCTGACTCCTCTCTCTAGCCTGCTATGTTCAGCTCTGGCCATCCTCAGGTTAAAGGCTGGTTTGGTCCAGTGTACACATGAAAGGAACCACCATTAAAAAATACCCAATAAATGGTCATCCAGTCCCTTCTTGAAGACTTCTGAGGAGGGGGAACCCACTAGCTCTCCAGGTATCCCGTTTCATTTTGGGACAACTCCAATTGTTAGGAAGTGTTGGGGGTTTTTTCTTCCCTTGGTAGGAAGTTCTCCTAAGCCTAAATTGACTTCTTTACAGCTTCTCCCCATTTCTCCTGGTTCTGCCCTCTTGGGTAGCCAAGCTGAACAAGTCTAATGCCAGGGTGAGCCAAAGATCTTATTCTTATATATGACATATGATATAAGGGCTTATATTGATATAGCCCTCTCCTTCCAATTTTACTCTGATGTCTCATAGTGATGAGAAGGTAAACCCTCCCCCCCCCCATAGTGGGGGGAAAGGTTTTGGGTGGATTGTAAGCTCAACAATGTAACCTGGAAACCAAAAATACTAATATAACATTAGGCTTCACTCTGTGGGGTGCTGGTAAATGTTTAACAAATGTGTCTCTGAAAAGCATGATGCGTTTTAAAATTTCATTGGCATTATTAATGTTTTCTCCATCACTTTTTTAAGTCTAGACCATCAACAAAAGAACAAATCCAGTCTCGATTTGTAATATTTGCCAATTTCTGGGCTGTAAATGCTCACACTGAAAATTTAACAATGAGCTCAGTACTGTAAGAGTTAGCTCCAGCTCAACCCTGTCTTGATTATTAGAGGAATAGGGTCCAGGACTAGGGAACACGAAAGTCACACAGTTCTCTGCCTTGGTTAGATGGTAACAGGAGTATTTTTTTTTTTTAGTTCTTGGTGCTTTATTTTAGGAAGGATACTGAAAAGAGTGCAGAAGAATGTGGCAAGGATGATGAGGTGACTAGTCTATGGAATAAAAGCGTCAGAAGAAATTGATGACGTTTAGCCTAAGGAGGAGACACTGCAAGGAAACATGATGGTTTTCTTTCACTGTTTGAAAGACCATCATGTGGAAGAGGGATTGTTGTCATTTAGTCATTCAGTTGTGTCCAACTGTTCATGACCCCATGGTAGGGTTTTCTTGGCAAAGATCCTGGAGCCATTTGCCATTTCCTTTTCCAGTGGATTAAGGCAAACAGGGTGAAGTGACTTGCCCAGGGTCACACAGCTAGTAAATGTCTGTGGCCAGATTTGAACTCAACTTCCTGACTCCAGGCTCAGCACTCTATCTGCTAAGTCTCCTAGCTCCGGGAAGAGGGATCAGACATGTCCTATTTGGCCCCAGAAAGCAGAGGTAGAGGACCTGGCTGGAAACTACGGAGAGGCAGATTAAACTCCACATGGGAAGAAACTTATTGAGATTATAAGTTGCCAAGGAGTTAGTGATCTGCATTGGCAGAAGGTGTTTCCACATCAGAAGTTCCTTATGTTGATGAAATCTTGGGCCCAGACCACACTTCCTCTCCTTCCTTCCACCCTCACCGCAATTTTCCTTTTTTCTCACAAGAAGATACAAGTGTAACACAGCCTGGGCATGCTAGGTTTGCTCCTTCTAAGCCTAACCCTTGGACCCAACTGAAGAAGGCATCACAAATTGCCAGAGCTTGGCATTCCCTTTGGCTACTACTGCTTGTTAAGTGGGGCCATATTTCTTATGGTTCACTGCATCTCATAAATTCCTCTTCCCTAAAGAGACCACTCACAGAGTGTTATCAGGGACTGTTCTTTGGAAGGAAACCTAATTCCCATGTCCCTTCCCTGAGTCTTATTTTTCAAGTGGCTGCCTGGGGCAGTGACTCAAACTTTTCCATGGTGCCTGTCTCTCCAAACACATTTTTGTTACTAAGGGGGAATGAGATTTGGCACATTACACCCACTGTAAATAACACATCTCCCCCATGCTGCCTGTGGGCCGTCAGAAGCAATAAAGGAACCTCTGGGCATGTCTTTTTTTACCCTGGCTCCAAAGATAGCTCTGTCAGTTACTTTTTTACACTTTTAAACTGATTTTTAAAGTTTCATGAGACTACCATTGATCCTATGTTCCACTCTTTCCTCTCTGTCCCTTCTCTAACTGCCCCCCCATACTAAGTTTTATAAGTTTCTTCTTGGGGGACTTTTTACCCATCTGCCTTCTCAAGGGCAGGGCTGGGCTGGGCTATGAAATGTTGCTTTGGTGGGCCTGTGGGAAGCTGTACAAATGACATGCTTGGCCCAGAACATGGTTGTTCCCATTTTATACAAACTCAGTAGACAGCAGGACAACAAAGCAGAGACTTGGACCTGGCAAGATGCCATATTTTTTGTTCATATGAAGGAAAAATAAAGAAATGTGCAGTTATAACCCTTCTGGGACATAAGGTCCCAGCTGTGTGACCCTGGGCAACTCACTTTACCTCTGTTTGACTCAACTTCCTCATCTGTAAAACGGGGATAATAATGGAACCTACCTCCTGGGATTACTGCAAGAATGAAGTAAATAAATTTGTAAAGCGCTTAGCACAGTGCCTGGCACACAGTGGTTACTAGAGAAATGTTAGTTATTATTATTATTATTAGGTATTTCCCTAGTCAGTCCTTTTTTCTCCTTGTTGCTATCCTTTTCAAGACTGGAATAAAAGTGAATTATGAAATGTGTAAAGTAATATATGAATTATAAAATAATGAATGATTCCGTAAATTCTATATGAAATCAATTTCAAGAGAAGTAGTAGCATGGTGTAGTGGAAAAAACACAGCGAGGGGTTTGGAATTAGAGGGGCTGGGTTCCGCTCTTAGTTTAGCCTCTTACTCCGTGTGTAACATTGGACAAGTTATTTTGAGTCTCTGGGCCTCAACTTCTTCATTCTGAAATGGTGGGATTGGACCAGGAACCACTACCGTCCCTTCCACCTCGGGGTATCTATAAGCCTCTGGCCCCATGGTCTTTCAGTGATAGAAGAAGGCCCAGATTTTCATCTCTTTCCACAGATGCAGGTGGCAATCCCTGTAAATGGTTCTAGGCCCTGGCACCTCCTGGCTGTGGAACAATGAGCAAATAAGTCACTTAATTTCTCTTGGCTTCAGTTTCTTCATCTGTCGACTGGAAAGAGTCCCTGCACTACCTACCTCAGAGGGTGGTTGGGAGGAAAGCACTCTGCAAGCGTGAGTATATATAAATCACGTTTTCTCCAAGCACATTTTGGTTTCTAAGGGGGAATGAGATTTGGCACATCACACCCACTGTAAATAACCCATCTCCCCCATGCTGTCTTTTAGATTTAGAGCTGAAGGGCACCTGAAAGGGTATTCCCAACCCCACATTTTTGTTACTGTTTTTCAGCCATGTCCAACTCTTCTTGACCCCACTTGGGGTTTTCTTGACAGAGATACTGGAGTGGTTTGTCATTTCCTTCTCCAGGTGAGAAAACTGAGACAAATAGGATTAGATTTGCCCATGGTCACACAGCCTGCATGTGTCTGAGGCTGGATTTGAATTTGGGTCTTCCCGGCTCCAAGCTTGGTTCTCTATCCATTTCCATACCTAGCTACCCTTAAATCCCTCATTTTACTAAGAACAAAAATCAAGTCAATCATCATTTGGTAAAGCACTTACTATGTGCTGGGTAAATGTTAATAAACATTAAGCACCTACTATAGGCCAATAGACTAATCAGTCAGTCAGTAAGCATTTATTAAGTGTTTACTATGTGCCAGACCCTGGACTAAGCAGTGAGGATACAAAAAAAGGCCTTCAAGAAGCTCTCAGTCTAACAGGGGAGACAACAAACACACATATGTACAAACATGTGCTAAGCACTGTGGAGACAAAGAAAGGCAAAACAGGGGCAGCTAGGTGGCGCAGTGGATAGACCACTGGCCCTGGAGTCAGGAGGGCCTCAGTTCAAGTCCAGCCTCAGCCATTTGACTAGCTGTGTGACCCTGGGTAAGTCACTTAACCCCATTGCCTAGCAAAGAAACAAAACAAAAATAAACAGCAACAAAAAAGACAAAGTCCCAAAACCAAAACAAAAACCAGCCCCTCACAGTCTAAGGAGGGAAACACCCTGGTACAGACCGGAGACACTGGGGGCACTCTCAGAGGCAAGGCACGCAGATTGAGCAGGGCAGGGAAAGGCTTCTTGCAGAAGGTGGGGACTTTTAGCTGAGACTTGAAGGGAGCCAAGGAAGTCAGAAGGAGGCGATGAAGAGGGAGAGAGTACCAGGCATGGGTGGACAGTCAGTGAAAATGTCCAGAGTCTGGAGAGAAAGTGTCTTGGAAGGCGACTGAACACATATAACCTACTTCAAATGGCTTACCGCCTCAGGGAGCTGGGGCGCTGAGGGAGGAAGAGAGAAAATTTGGAATTCAAAAATGTTTTTAAATGAATGTTAAAAATTGTCTTTACAGGTAACTGGTTGGGGGGGGGAGAATAAAATGATATTTAAAAAAAGAAGAGTACCTGGAGAGAAGTAAAGTGTAAGAAAACTGGAAATATAGGAAGGGACCAGGTTATAACAGGCTTCAGAAGTGAAAACAGATTTTCTTTTGATCCTGTAGGTCAGGGGTGGGGAACCTGTGGTCTTGAGGCTGAATGTGGCTCTCTAGGTCCTCAAGTGGGGCCCTTTGACTATGGTTTCCTACCCCTGCATGGGTAATAGGGAGGTAGTGGGCTGTATCAGATAGGAGGGTGACATAGTTAAACCTGAGCTTTAGGCAGATCAAAATTGAGTCTCTGAGAGGTTAAGTGACTGATGCTTGTAAGTATCTGATGCAGAATTTGAATTCAGATCTTGCTGACTCCAAGGCCAGCACTCTGTACTTTGTTATCTATCTGCCTCTCCACTATTTCCTTGTGAGTGGCTATTCATCACTAGCTGGTCAGCCTTCTGACAATGAGTGGGCCAGGCTAGGCCTCAGATGACAGATATTCAGGATGTTTTCAGAGCCCCTCCAGCTTGGCAGAGTCTGCCAGAGCTTTGCTTCCCAAGCAGAGCCTTCAAGAAACTAGGGTCACCCTCACCCCATGATGAGGCATTAAGGGAGGACTCAGAGAACAGGGACACAAAATAGGCATGGAAAAAATTGTTGAGTCGGGTTGAACAGACTGACAAAGTTAAGCAAAATGGGAAGAAATCAGGTTACTGGCATAGGTGAAAGATCGGGTATTGGGGCCTTTCCCTGTGAGAGGTCTTCATATGATACTCAGTGAAAGCACATGGCTTATTAGAAGTGGCTGACTTCTTGCCTCACCCTGCAGTCCATTGTGAAACTCTGTAGAGTTGACTCAACACCGTGTGGCCTGTGCTGCTGTCAGAGCATCAGGCATCTAGTAAAGTTTTCACACACTCCTGGAATGGACTACAAGAATCAGGGGTGGAGAACCTGTGGCCTTCTAGGTCCTTGGGCATGGCCTTTTGACTGAGTCTAAATTTTACAGAACAAATCCCCTTAATATAAAGGATTTGTTCTGTGAAGTTTGGATTCAGTCAAACGGCCACACTTGAGGACCTAGAGGGCCACATGTGGCCTTAAGGCCACAGATTCCCCACTCCTGGACTAGATCACTCTTTCCAGAAGTCTGCATCCCTTATTTCATTTCCAGATGTAGTTTAGATGGTCCTGTGACAACTAACCAGGTGGGGTAGTAGAAAGAATGCTGTATTTGGAGCCAAGAAGAACTGAGTTCAAATCCTGCCCCAGACACTTTTTAGCTCAGTGACCCTGGGCAAGTTATTTAACCTCTTTCAAGCTGTTTCCTCATCTGTAAAACAGGGATAATAGCACCTGCCTCACAGGGCTGTTGCGAGGAACAAGGCAGATTTTTGTAGCTTATATGCACAATCAGGTACTTTAAAATGTTTTTTCCTACTCTCAATTTTAAAATAGCTTATTATTTTTATTTGTTAAGTAATAAGTATTTTTAAAATTAGTCTTTCTTACTACTCCCCTCCCCCAACAAATATTTAAGAAAGAAAAAACCCTTAATACATCAGTACAAAGGCAAATCCCCACATTATCCATATCCTTAAAGGCATATCTTTTTCTGCATTTTAAGTTATATCCTCTGTCAGGAGGTAAACGAGCCCCTTGTCATTTGTATGGACCTGCTTAGAGGACTGTAGTCTTATCTAAATACAATATATTCCACCTTTAATGTACATTATACCCTGAAAAGGTACAATGAGATACAGAAGATTACTAAGGAGGATGGTTACTGTGGACACCAGTTCAAGCAGGTCAGAATCCAAAAGGTTTTTAAATCATCCAGAAATAACCTGAGAGTCAGTAATGTAACGGAAAGTTGTTGATAGGGGAAGTAAGTGGAGAATGAATAAAAATTTGAAGAAGAAAAAAAGCAGAACAAAAAAACAAGCAAGTGGGGTAGGGAAGAAACCTAATTTTAAAAAAAGAAAAGAAAAAGAACCTCCCAGGAAGGCAAAATGCCATTTGTGGGCAGTAGAGAAATGCCTCACATTTTTGTGCAGGGAAGCTTTTGTTGTGTGGTGGGGTAGCAGCATTATGCAGCCTGCTCTGTGGGATTTCTGTTTTTCTTTCACAACAAACACATAAACAATTCTCAGGGAAGAAAATGACATGAAATAAAAGTGCTTTTTCATAGTTCCAACTCATTACAAATAGGATATTCACAGTAGTATTGACATACTGTCTCTCTTCTGAAAGTTTCGGAGTTTTGCAGAAAGGGAAGAGGCTGTTGCCACTAAGAGAGATTCATCCCTGATCTCGCAGTGGGTGAGGGACATAATGTCTTGGTTCTTACTCTAGCAACATTAAATCTGTTACTAACCACCTCTTAAAGAGCAACAGCAGCTAAAATAACCAACCCAAACTTGACTAACTTACAAGCATCTGTCACTTAACCTCTCAGAGACTCAGTTTTGATCTGCCTAAAACTTTTAGCTTTAACTAAATTTCTGGTGAAATGGAAAAATGTGGGCAGATAGCACATTTTTTTAGTCTACATGATGCCAAACCATCTGGTTATCCTACAACAGGTTTCATTTATTTATTTTTGTAAGACAATTGGGGTTAAGTGACTTGCCCAGAGTCACACAAGCTAGTGAATGTTATGTGTCTGAGGTCACATTTGAACTCAGGTCCTCCTAACTCCAGGGCTGGTGCTCTATCCACTGCACCACCTAACTGCTGGTTTCATTTATTTTTCCATCCAGATGTTTGACATCTTGTCTATGGAAATGAAAAACAACAAAACAATACTGAAATCTATTTTGAAAGCTTAATATCTCACCTCCAGTATTGTATTACTACCAACTTCCTCTCCTTCCTAAGGAGATCTTCCTAACCTTCTATCCCATCAGTTGTGCTAATTTATTCCTAATCCTCAAAGTCTCTTGCCCCTTAGCTCCCTTCTTTCCATCCAATTTGATCTTCAAAGTAAAAAAAAAAATTGAACATACATTTATTATATATCTGTTATATACAAGGCACTGCTCTGGGTGTTAGGTATACCAAAACAAAAATAAAAGTCTGCCTTCAGAGAGCCTTCTTGGGCCTCTGCACCTGTTCTTCCCTCCCTGTATGCAGGGAGTAGTACCTGGCATTTAAACTTCGTGTGTGTATGCAAGGTACTTTTCCTCACAACAACCCTGTGAGTTGTCATCAAGCATTTAAGTACTTTCTAAGTGTTGTCCTCCTCATTCTACAGATAAGGAAACTAAGGCTCTGACAAGTTAAATTGCTTGCTATTTTAGTCACACAGCTGGGAACTGTTAGTGCCAATCAATCAATGAATCAATAAATAAATGTCAATAAACATTTATTAAACACCTACTATGTGTCAGATACCATGCTAAGCACTGGAGATACAAAAAGAGACAAAAGACTTGAACTCAGGTTCTCTGACTCTGAATCCCATACTCTTCCTACCTCATCCATGTGATGGCTCCCACAGTGCTTGGCATAGAGTGAGTGCTTAATAAATGCTCATTGATGAACTGACTTCTATCATTTCTTCTTTATATATGTATTTGTTTTGGGTCCACCAAATCATCCCTTCTTTGATGTCTCCTGTTTTCCTATCACTAAATGCCTGTGTTTCATCTTTGCCAGGCTTTTAACTTTGGTCCAGAGAGCTGCCCCTCAAACCTTAAACACTGAAGAAGCCCTGAATATGCTTTGAGTAGATGTTGGGTTGACTATGATTTAACATTTTTAGTAACATATTGTAAAAATATGTTGTTTGTTGCCAGAGAACATGCAGTTGGAAACACTCTTGCCATAAAGGTAGCAACTATATATTAATATAATATTAATCACTGCAGAATATTTTGCATTTATTCTTAGCTGGATATTATCACTTGATAATAATTCTCTCTCTCTCTCTCTCTCTCTCTCTCTCTCTCTCTCTCTCCTCTCTCTCTCTCTCTCCCTCCCTCCCTCTCTCTCTCTCTCTCTCTCCCTCCCTCCTCTCTCTCTCTCTCTCCCTCCCTCCCTCTCTCTCTCTCTCTCCCTCCCTCTCCTCCTCTCTCTCTCTCCTCCCTCCCCTCCCTCCCTCCCTCTCTCTCTCTCTCTCTCTCTCTCTCTCTCTCTCTCTCTCTCTCCTCCCTCCCTCCCTCCCTCCCTCCCTCCTCCTCTCTCTCTCTCTCTCTCTCTCTCTCTCTCTCTCTCTCTCTCTCTCTCTCTCTTTCTCTCTCTGCCTCCCCCCCCCCAAAGCCCTTGGACATAGTCCTTGTGTCCTTTTGGAGATCATGGGAGTTCCCCTGTGACCATCTGGATTGAGAAAGAAGACCCTTCAAAGAAGCTACACACTCTGCTCTCTCCATCCTCCAGGTAAATCTGGCCACCATCTTAACTGAGCACATCTCAGCTTCAGCTGATGTTTAGCATTACTAACATCCACCCACATGAAATCTGTTGGATGATGCTGTGGGCCCAGTGTGGTCTAGTGGTTAAGCCAGCTGCCTCCCAAATATCCGAACTGAGTTTGTTTCCCAGCCAATGTCATGATGTTAGGAAGTGAAGGAAGTGGTGGGAACTCTTACTAATAAGAGGAAGATGAACTGAAACCAGCAGGGCTAAGCTGTGGTGAGATGAAGAGTCTGTTTAACAGTGACTGGGGAATGACTGAACAAATTGTGGCATATAAATGGAATGGAATAGTATTGCTCCTAAGAAGTGATGACTACAAAGAGTGCAGAGAAATTTGGGAAAACTTGTGTGAAATGATGCAGAATAAAGTAAGCACAGCCAAAGAAAGATATATTAAATGGCCACAGTAAGATAAAGGAAAACAGCACTAAGAGACATCAGATGATTCAGGTCAATGTAATAAATTATCTTGATTCTAAAGAAATATGATATTGAAACCTATCTTCCTCCTCTTTGTAGGGTGGCGGACTACAGGCAGCAAATGTGATGTATACCATCAAACCTGGCTAATGTGTTAATTTATTTTAATTAACTTTTACATACTTTCTTTATATTTATACATACCTAATTAACTTATATATACTTATACTTTTTGTTACAAGGGAAAGTTCTTTTAGGATGGGGTGTTATTGTGAAATTGATGTTTTTACTGCTCTAGAATTTGTTTAGAGCCATTTTTTTACAGGTATTTGGAAGGGTTTGGGGGAAAGCTCAAGCAAGTCACTGCTTTTACTCCCAAAATTGATGTTTTTAAAAAGTGTCAATGAAACATTTTAAAAGTCTCTTTGGGTTTTAAGGAGGTACCTCAAGGGAAGAAAAAAAAATTCAAGTAGAAATGGGAATCATTTGTCCTGCAGGAGGGAAAGGATCAAAAGGATTCTGTTGGTCACTGGCAAAATAAACCATTATAATTAGGATCATTTATAGTATTATACACATAGGCTAGCAAGAACATCTATTAAAATGTGAAAAGGGACAGTTAGGTGGCACAGTGGATAGAGCGCCAGCCCAGAGTCAGGAGGACCTGAGTTCAAATACAGCCTCAGACACTTAACATTCTACTAGCTGTGTGACCCTGGGCAAGTCATTTAACACCGTGGACTAGCAAAGAACAAACAAACAAGAACGTGAAAAGGCTCATCAACCAATCCATCAACTGCACTTATTAAGCATCTAATATGTGTTAAATTCAGGGGATACAAAGATAGAAGTCAATAGTCCCTGTCTCAAGGAAGTGACATTCTAAAGTGTAAGACAACATGGATGACAAAATGAATACAGAATATGTACAAGGTAATTTAGGGAGGGAGGGTGCTAGCAGGAAAGGCCTCATGTTGAAGCTGATGCTTAAGTTGGGTGTTGATGGAAAACAGAGCTTACAAGAGGTGGAATTGAGGAGGGACAGCATTCAAGGCATGGGAGATTGCTTGAGCAAAGTCATAGATTTAGACCGCAGATGGACCTTTGTCATGTGTATGGAGCAGCAAGTAGTCCAATGGGTGGACCATAGAATATGCAGAGGGGACTGAGGCATAAGAAGATTGGAAATGTGGCAAGGAGCCAGATTGGAAGATCTTTTAATGCCAGAGGAGTTTATATTTGATTAAACTGAGATATGTTTATTAAATATTAATGAGTTGATGTCTCTTTGGGAGTAGATTTCTAGTGGAGTGTCCTTGGTCCTGTACCCTTCTATGTTCCACTGAATAACTTGCCTGAGTTAATAAACTTTTCATAAGAGATTGTGGGCTTCTAGAACTAGAAATAGCAGGTGACCTTCATTGAAGGAGATCTACATCTATCTCAGATCCTGACTTGCAGGGTCCCAAAAGCAACAGAGGTCCATGCTTCCAGAGACTCGAGAGATTATTTGAATGCTTGTTCCACATCCAGAGTATCTTCTGGTTGGGCTTCATACCTTGCCATCTTAAGGGGATGCTACAGGGTTGGTACCAAGTAGGAGTGCAGCCTGGTTTAGGGGACTTGACAACTAATTATTTACTTACTCAGAGCTACCCTACCACCTACAGCTAACATTTACGTGACCAGTTTTCCTATATTTGGAGAGCTCAGCTGTGGAAAGTTACAGAACTGTCTGTACTCATGATTTATTTATTCATCATAGGACCCTTGAGCGTAGAACACCCAATCAGCTGACTCTTCCCTAATCCTATGGAGCAGGTCCTGATTCCTATGGTTCTTAATCATCATTATGTGGAGGTGAAAATGTTGTCTTCCTTCTTCTTCTCCCTACATTCTCATCCCTAGGCAGCTTAGTCCTAAATCTTCACTATTCACTTGTTCCTTTGACCTCTCCACTCTTGTACATCCCAGAAATTCCTGTTATTAATGAGGTCCCCTTTATCCTATATCTACTTTCTTCACCCCATTTCCATCTCCTGATGCTAATGGTCACCTGGCTGTCTCTGAATCCCTGGCCACATTTTCAGGAATTGGGTACTCCTTCTTTTATGGCCCCCAACAAAGTGGACCAAAGGAGGAATTGGCATCCTCCTTACTTTTCACTGTCCCTTTGCTACCATCACAAGGCAACCTATTCTCCTTTGAGGTCCACTCCATCATCTCTTTATATCACATCCATATTCTCATCTGATAGAGTTCCTTGTAACAATGATCTGCCTACCTCCTGGTCATTCCTCCCTCTTTCTCAAGGAGCTTTTAATACCTGAATCACACTTTTCTTCTTCACTCTCAATTACTCATATTTGGGAAGTTCAAATACATGTTGATGTCCCCTCAAACACCACATCCTCCCAATTCATCAACCTCTATAATTCCCATGAGGGGTTCTCCATAGAGGATGCTAAGTGGAGGAGTGAACAGAATGCAATGCTCGGAGCCAGGAAGACTTGAGTTCAAATCCAGCCTCAGACACTTACTAGCTGTATGACCCTGGGCCGGTCACTTCACCTCTGTTTGCCTCAGTTTCCTCAACTGTGAAATGAGGATAATAATAGCACCTACCTCCCAGGGTTTTTGTGAGTATCGAATGAGAATCAAATATTTATAAAATTCTTAGCACAGTACCTAGATACATAGAAGGTGCTGAATAAATATTAGTTTCTTTCATTTCTTCCTTCCATGACTTATCCCTTAGCTTACCCACAGGGTTGGTCCATCCTATAGATTTTACGTTTCACCATTACCCAATAACTATGCTACCTTCCTGATCCTGGAACTCTGAAATTTCCCTTTCTGATCATAATCTCCCATTCTTCCATCTCTCCCTCTGCCCCATGCCTTCTGAACCTATCCTTCCTCCTCTCTGAAGTCTTGAGTCTCTGTGTCTCTTAGTGTTTTCTCGGTCCCAATCACTCCAACCTCTGGTTTCACTTCCTTCCTTTCCAAGTCTTGACCTTGTGACTGACCAATTCAAGCATACTATATCCTCTTCCCTTCCATTTCTTGTCCCCCTGTCTTCTGCCTGCTCAAACCACAACCCTGTGTGACTCTGACTTGTCTTTTTTCTCCATTCCTACTGTGAAGTAGGACTGAGTCCATTCCAAACATATGTTGCACCTTACTGCTGCAAGCCAATTCTTTCATTTTTCTCTGATTGGTTTCCACCCTCCCCAGAGTGTCTATTTCAAGCCTCTTCTCACCTCAGACCTCCTACAGAATTCCTTTCCTCCTTCCTCCCAGAAGCTTCCTGAGGAAAGAGGCTATTTGCCACAAGGTATCTCTTTTTCTTTACACCTGAGAAATCTTCTACTTCATCCGTGGTCTACTCTTTCTCTTTGCTAAGGCCAACCCATCTATTTGAGCTCTTGATTCCATCTAGAGTATCCCATGGGAGAGGTACCCTCAATTGTTCCAACTTTCTCTCTCATCTTCTTCTCAACCTCTGTATCTCCTGTTGTTTTACATGCCCAGTTCTTCTTACTTGAATATAGCCACTCTGTGGTAAAGCTTTGGCTGGACACCTGTAAGGGAATCTAAGTTGCTGAAGAAACTGAAAATTGTATTTCTTCCTGGCTTGGGAAGAAGAGAGGAAGCTACCATGGTATCGAGACTGGAGTATGGGTTTTCCCCCTTATAGTGGGAGTTTTAAAGGATGTCTCAGAGGAAGCAGCAGGGGGACCACAGTTTCTGGTGGTAGAGATATCTTCGGTTCTCTTCCTCAAATTGAGGCTTCCAAACAAGACCAGAAGAAGAGATGACTAAAGAGAGAAGTTGTTCTTGGTTTAGTTTTATCTTGGGTGCTTTTCTCATTTGACTGGAGCGCTCAAGAAAAAACAGACACAAGGAACTACGCCCTTACCTCCTTCCCCTTTTCCTTTAGATAGCTTTTCACTGATGCCCATTCCTAATAACGTCCTTTTATTCTGTTAAGACTGCATCTGACTGATCTTATTTCCCATAAACACTGTGATTGAATCTATCATTGCATTTCCTTGTTCTCTTTGTTTGCTGCATGAGCATGGGACAGCTGTGGGAGCCACACAGCAGAAAGTGACCTTTTTTTAGAACAGGACTCTGATTTCCGCACCCTCCTCCCAACATACCTTCTTCAGTCCATTGTTAGAGATCTTTCCCTCCAACGGGAGGCATAGTCATGAGCCATTCATATTTCATAACCATGCTTCCAAATTGCTATGAACTTGGCACTTTAAAAAAAATCTGCCTATTCAGACACAAGCCTAATATAGTGACCTCAAGGGCATTGTAATTTGACCCTGCTATGTTATTAAGTTATCACCCTATGTAACTTCTCCCCCCCCCTTTTTTTTTTACAACGAAATTGTAAAATAGTTGCCTACACATTATCTCCATTTCATTCACTTCTAAATATCTTGCAATCTGGCTTCTTTCCTCTCTAAGGTTATCAACTATCTTAACAGCTGAATCCAATGACCTTTTCTCATTCCTCATTCCATTTTATTTTGCTGAAGCTTTTCCACGGTTGACCAATCTCTTTCCCTCTCCTCCCCCAGCTTTTATGGATTGCTTTCCTTTGATTCTCATACTTGTCTTAACTGCTTCTCAACCCCTCTTTGTTGAATCATCATCCATCTTCTGTCCCCTAAGTGTCCTGGGTCTCTGTCTTTCTGTCTCTCTCTCCTCTCTCATCTTGTCTTCTCTCTTCTCTGTGTCTCTCTGTCTCTGTCTATTTCTGTCTATCTCTGTCTCTGTCTCTCCTCATTAATCTCATCAGCTCTAGGGAATGCAATGATCACCTCTATACAGATGACTCTTACATCTAAATTGTCCATCTCTTACCTCTTTCTTGAATTTCAGGCCTGCATCACCAACTGCCTGCTGGATACCATTTCTAGGATGCCGCATTGACATCTCAAACTCAACATTTTTGAAATGGAACTCACTATGTTCCCCTGAAAACCTTTTTCCCCTCTAAGCTTTTCTTTCTGTTGGAGGTATTTGTATCACTCTAGTCACTTCAAGCTCATTGTGCCTTCAGTCTTCTTCCTTACTCTTGACATGGAACTAATTACTTCTCTTTATTCTCCTTCTACAACATCTCTTGC